TTTGTGTGCACTGAAACATCGAACACTACGTATGATTACCAATCAAATACAACTTGTATGCGATTTTATTGCTTCACATTGCTTCACATATAAAAAATAATATGTCATGTCCTCCGATCCTCTTTTATTTCCCTTCGTCTGTGTGTAGTTTCGCTTAGTTGTTTGTTATTGAAAGATTTGAAATAGATCATCCGGGACATTGACCTACTAAGAAAATCCGGAACGATATTTTATTAGTGTTTTTATGTTTACGTACGTTTTTGTTTTAATACAACAACCACCAAGGTGATAACACCTTACTGAACCCTTGCTAAAATATGCGAATATGTTATGTGACATGGTAAATCATCATTATAGTTGATTCTGTACTATATAGCTATAATTAAAAGAAATTGTAAATTGTGTAACAAATAAATGTATACAAAAATAGGACTGGTATGTTCTTTGAACAAAACGTCCTGAAGTTAAATAAAGTTACAGTACTTGCTGTTCGTTAATAGCTAACATTACTAGTCCCTAGATTTTCTTGCGTATATGACAGCTGGGCGCCACACATCTATTCTACAGATGTAATTCCAACAACGTTTGTTATACCTATCGGATTTTTATGCATCCACAGAGCATACGTGTTACCAGCAATCATCAAAATGATTACCTACAGCCCACCTTCAACCACTGCTGAGTAGTTTATGGCATCAATTTTCCCATCTGGGTGGACAGAGAAAACAACTTTCCACTTGTTTTTCTCCTCTCTTAACTCATATCTTTCGCCTCATCAACACTCGTCTTGATCTGGCCTTTCTTTAGGACATCCTTAATGTGGTTGTGGTAATTTTGCTTTAGTCACCCGTTACCAACTTGCTCGCTCACTTTCGCCTTGGAAATCTTTACTATACTTTTATAATTTTTTTCTACATCCGTCACATCTCTTTCTCTATCTTTGTCACTACAGCTTCTTTCGCTCTGCAACGCTCTCGTATTACGTATAAATACATATTTAAAAAATATAATTGTTTGTGATAATTGTGGTTTTGTAGACATTGTTACAAATTAGCAAAAGTGTTGCTGGAACTATACTTACTTATATTGTGCGTTTTAATGTTGTGAAATTAGACCGGTGTACACTACGTAATCGCCCATTGTTTTCTATACCTGTTAAAAAGATATTGGAATATTTTTGTTTTTGTTATTTGAGTGCATTTCATAAGTATTAAGAATACTTATTTACTATATTACGGCGATCAAAACGTTAATTACATACAAGAAACTAATATTTCAAAAACGAGCGCTTGATAGTATATTGCTAGGAATAATTGAATTTCGTAATATTAGAGACTACATGAATGTCGTATTGTTTCGAGCCACTTATCCATGCACGTACGGAATACCGAAACTTTGGGCATTAATTTAAAAGCAGTGTCACACTAAACTTCAATACCGGTAACTCCGTGTATATTACATTTCCTCCGAATAGTTGCGGGGCATCAGGTTTGCTTTGTGTTATTATATTTGAATTTGCGAGAATAATTCAGTAACTTCGCCCGATTCGTTTATTGCTGTATAACTCAAGTTCCATCAGGTGAACGCGATTCAATCAACACAAAACAACACTACGTACTACAATAGCTCATATTTTCGGATCTATATAGAATTGACGACCTGAGTGGCGGAGAATTTAGCACTTTGGGCGAGGTCTTCGTTCTGGAGGAGGTCTGGGATTTTATTTCCAGTGCGATCAAAGGACACGAACTTCTGGAGATTTATTATGGTTAGTATTCGTGCAGAAAATTTGTTTATGCTAGCTCTTATAGTATTGAGAATTTAATAATTTGACATTAAATCATTAGTACAGTCGTCTAGCACTGTAATATTACAATTATGACTAAAGATGGAGAACTTGTAGCTATCGCCAAGATTGGTAGGCTAATTTGTTTCCCTACTTCGTACAAAGCTGAAAATTAGTAAGGTGATGGATAATTTTAGGCGCATTTGTTCTAGAAGGGTTAAGTTCTCTGACTTCAGTGGTCGATTTTTATTCTTAATTTTAGAAAAAACATTTCGCGGTAAGGAAAAAGAACTCTAACTTTCATAAGATTGCGTTAATTGGGCAATTAGATTTGATCCACCGAATTCAGCTACACCAAAATCGGGATAATTCAACAAAAGGCATAATTTTGGTATAAAATATTATGAAAAAGGCAATGAAAACATTCAATAGTATTTCCGTATCTTTTAGAAAAAAATATTTAGAACGTAATCTGTAGCTACAAAAGCAATAAATTTTTTGGAAGTTGCGCGAATAATATTTTTCAATACTTTTTATACATGACGAGGTAATTTATGCAACTTCAAAATCTTTCCTTCCGCTTTTTCTACGCATGCCTCAGACTATCTTTTTCTTTAAACATTTCGTAATATAATTGGATCGCTTTTTATCTTTGCTTTAGCACGTTCCTTTTTCTTCTTGAATTTTTGTTTTCTTTTGTGTTCTTTATTCTATTTCAACGGGAGGCAAGTAGTAATATAAAATTGTGAAAATAAATAATATTATATTTATATGAAAAAACGTATAAAGTTCTTGCTTTCCAAAGAAAATATGGCTACGATGTCACTTTTTTCCGACTTCGGTGGAAGCTTTTCTGAATTCGGTGGCACAAAATCCACCGAATCCAAGGCCTTTAGGATTCAGAAAATATTTCTTTTTTATATTATTCGTAAACGACAATACTTCTAAAACCAATGAATTGTTATTATATTTTAGTCGTTACAACACATATTATAAAAAATATTAAGTACAACCATCAAATTTAGTTTTTGAAATATCGTATACACCAAATTCAAAAATCAACCTGGACCAAATCCACCGAATTACGTATTTACACGCAAAAAGTCCTAAAATTAGCAACGAATTATGCACCTGTTCTCTCCAGCCACAGGGGCGTGATGGACGAATAATACAAACGAATTGCGAAGCATCTAAAATGCTTCACTTGTGATATGTACCACAGAATTCCCTCGTAAGCCTGGGACACGCATTAATCTTGGTATTGTGATAAAATTATTGTCTACTTTATTGTGAAATTCAGATTATAAGTTCTATCATGTAACTTATTGTATGTGAACTAAAGTCTAATGTTGATATATGGTTTCCATTTTTAGAAAATTGACACTTTGTATTGGATCTGCATTCGGGACACGCTACCGTTGCTCTCTAGTTAGCTTTCGACCTATAAGTATACACTCTTTTTTTGTAGATTTTTGGTTTGATAAATAAGTGGAGTTTCGTGCATGGATACAGAAAATTGCGGCTTTGGAGAAATGGGCTTAACATTTATATTTTTGATTCTTATGTACTGTAGCGTAGTGCGAGGTATTATTTAATAATAAATGATGACTATAATCGTAAATAAAGGTTTACTGTGTTCAGTTTGAAGATTTGTCTAGAACTCTACCGATGTTCATTTGAAAACCACCTTCTACTTTTATACGGTTCTAAATATAAAATAGTATAATCTAACCAAGCTGCGCTACAGTACATTTCATGGAATATTGAATATGGTATTATCCATAGTTCATTTTAGATTAAGTTCAGTGCTTATTATGAGAACTTGTTTTCATTTTCGTTCCAAAATATTTGCTATGAGCTTTTGATTGAAGTGGCTTTCATTTCATTCAGTAAAAAGGCCCACCTGGAAATCCTCTTCAATTATTAGAATGAGAATCACGCAAATCCGTAAAATCAAATCTTGTAAGAGTACAACTTCGACTTCGTTTCCCTTCATTTAATTTTGAATCTGCTGAATGCTCAATTTTCAACCAAACGACGGTAATGGGACGTAAAAATGAAGATTTCTTTCTGTATTCAGCCATAATTTGCCGTAAGTCGAAGTGAAACTTCGGGTTCATGTTCCCTTGATTGCGTAAATTTGAAAGTGAAAACCTATGTAAGAGAAAGTGATGCCAGGATCATCAAGCAGATCAGCGAGTGTAAGGCTTATAATCTCTATCTACATCACAAGAGCCCACGGTGTGGGTGAGGTTTTATAATTTTCTATTTGGCCTATACATGCATTACCCTTTTGCTTTTACTTTTTATGAAATGTGTATATCATTCCAAATTTACGTTTCGAGGAAAGTTCCCGTTTATAACGAAAATATATCCACGAATTTCTTGTATTTTTAGCTTTTTACAGAATTTTATTTTTAGTTTGCATAGGGCGAGTACGCGTTTTATTACGATAAAAGTATAAAGTCAATGTACAGAAAACATCCTATTTCAGGAAATTCATTTTTATACCGAAACGGACTTTTTTCATCTTTTGTGCACTGTACATTTAGGTATGGTGAATTATTTAACTACCGTAATATCATCATAATTATAATATAAAAGTAACGGAACTTACTCGCGTCGTATTTTAGTCGGAAGCGGTCCGACTAGTTTCAATCATAATCGATGGTCTTCTTCAGGGGTTGAGTGCAACGTTCGCGACCGCGTCACATCTAGCACTGCGCGCTGCGGTTTAACCTCTCGGATTTTGCGGGGCATAAAATACTTCTCCCGCGCTAAAACCTTAGCTTTATCAAACCGAATGTAGACTTTTTAAAAAGGTGCCGTGAATATTGTGTTATGCCTAAATTCATGCCAGTTAAACCCTCAAAGTGCATTCAAGGTTACGAGCATTTCTTTGAAAATGTAAACAGGAAGTTTCTTAAGTGGGTAATTAGAGATTACTATCGAAAGATATCCATCATCACAGGAGAATTGTACCACTTACATCTGCAGCTGTCTCAGGTTTTAAGACCGGATTTTTAGGTAACTCTCGATGCAATGACATACAGTAGGGCTGCTTATGTCACTGTAAATTCAGAAAAAACACACGAGAGTAAGTTGAAGTGCTTTACAGAAAAATTCCAAGCAAAAACACACTGGTGAATACAATACGATTTCGACATTTAAAACTGTTATAAATTTATCCTCGCGGGAATTGACAAAGTACGAGATGGATGCTTTATCTAAAGGTCTAAATTTTGCACCTACACTGAGGAAAATATCTGTGGAATCAATGATTACAAATGTGGCGGACACTATTGCGCGCAATAAAAAAAACTGCCATGAAGCTGAGTGTTTAAGACAGGACGTTTTACAGGTATTAAGAAAATCCAAGCTACCTAAGCCTAACATAGTCAGGTCCGAGTTGAATACTCTGGATGCACTACGAAGGAATTCTGATGTACTGGTTCTGCCGGCGCACAAAAGTAATGCCACAGTCATCGTTGACACGCGGGATTATGAAGAAAAGATGAATAACTTGTTGTGTGACAGTGGTACGTATAAAAGAAGTTACACCTCCAACCAACCAACCAAACATCAACTTATGTGAGAGATTCTACACATTTTGTACAGTTGTTGGAAGGAGTACGTGTTAGTGATAACGACATATTGGTGAGTTTTGATGTTGTATTATCGTTTAGAAATATACCGATAGAGGACGTACTTATGATTATATCTGATTTAGTAGTGTGTTAATTTACCTGTCGGTTATATGAAATTGATACAGTACACTCTGACGAGGGGAAACTTTATGTGGAGGGGTGATTACTTTTTACAAATCGGCGGCGTAGCAATGAGATCACCGATAGCTCCAGTAGTGGCTAACATATTTATGGAATGGTTTGAGGATACTGCGCTGGTGAACATTCCATTCGAACCGAGATACTGATGGCGCTATGTAGATGACGTATTTGCCATTACGCCTAAAGAGGGAGTAGAGTCGCTATTGGCACACTTAAACAGTGTTCACCCAAAGATCACCTTCTCCGTGGAATGTGAGCAGAACAGGGTTCTTCCTTTCTTGGATGTGTTGGTGAGACGTGAACATAACGGTCGGTTGTATCGAAAACCAACGCACACGGATAGATACCTGATTCACATCACCACATTTAGCCTCAGTTCCGCGGACGCTCATTAATAGAGCTTTGAAACTTTGCGACCCGGATTACATAGATGCTGAGCTAAATCATGTGAAGGACGTGTTGGTTGGTAACGGTTACAAGTGGAAACAGAGCTGGCGTGTGGCAAATGCATCAACGAGGCCTCGACCAGCATCGGTAGAGAGAGCGGTAGCGTACTTACCTTATGTCAGGGGGGTGACAGATGTGATTGAAAACTCGTTACGCCGAAGGTACAGCATCAAGACAATATTCCGTCCTCTCACACAGCTGCGATAATTACTTCGCTCTCCAAAGGACAGAGACCCTCTGGGGGTCCCCGATGTCTATATGGTTCCTTGTGACTGCGACAAGCGTTACGTCGGCGAAACGAGACGGAACGTGGCTACTAGGCTAGCTGAGCATATCCGATCCATGAAGAACCAAGATATCAATAGATCTGCGGTGGCAGATCACTTTCTGAGCTCCGGTACTGGTCACTACATTCGGTTTGATAAAGCTAAGGTTTTAGCGCGGGAGAAGTATTTTGTGCCCCGCAAAATCTGAGAGGCTATTAAAATAAGTAGGCGACCAAATTTTAATAGAGACGGAGGCTGCAGCTTGCCACCGACCTGGAAGCCGTGTCTTCATGGCGCTCGGTATGCAGCTGCAGATGTTAGTAGTAACGACGTGGGTAGCTCTGTGTGCTGGACTGTTCCCGACAACAATCCTACGGACAGCAGTAGCGAAAAAGAGTTCCAGTACGCGCTGACACAACGTATCAGCCCCCCGAGTTCCCTACTGCGGACTGTGTCATCGGCGCGCGCGCAAACTACTACGCGCGCAAGTCCCGTTACTTTTATATGTGTGATAATTATGTGATGTTATTATTATGTGTGATAACCGCGTTAGTTTTCATAATAAAATCATCATAATTAATTGTAGACATATCAAAACACTTTTAGGCCGCCTGGTATAAATTATTACTTTTTTATAAAAAAACCCGACCTCAAAAGTTCGTGGAATTACATCTGTTTGCCAAGTTTTATTGAAACCGGATCTATTCCCTAGTTTACCACCATTAGAGGTGGAATATTTTCTTCAAATTTAAATGGGGACCGTACTGAGGTGCGAGGGCACAAAAAAGAATCATCAAAATCGGTTCATATCACGACGTAATCGCATAACGTACACACAAAAAAATAACAATTAAGAACCTCGTCCTTTTTTAAAGTCGGTTACTAAAAATAAATTCCTACATATATACTTTCTTATTTCATTTTATTTAGGAAATTGACACCTGATAATAATATTTAAAAAATTACATTTAAATTGTTGCTATTTCTAAGAATTGGATTCGTGTTTGGATAATCGGATGGTATTTTCTTACTTCACTTCCTTAATGGATTTTCTTAGATTCACAACTGAACAGTATCTGTAAGTGGATTCTTCGAAAGTAACAATGATTGGCATTACAATTTGGGCTACATCTATCTGCCATGGTGTCGGTGTCCAGAATGTGTCAATTTAAAAGCACTCTGAAGAACCGGGATTCGGTTATCTCTCACAGACCAAAAGGATTTTTGTTTCTTTTTTTCCGATTTAATTGCGGGACTGTTTCGTTTATTTGTGGCTTGATAAGTGTGGGTCGGCGCACGTTTTTTTTTTAATTTATGTGTTTTGAGAGAGTGTTTTGTTTTTTATGGCGGAATAATTTTTTATTTATGTAGAAATAAACATGACCGAAATAACAAATTTATACAATTACCTTTTACGAAACGTTTCTCTAATAGCGATCCAAGCTTAATAATAACAGAGGCAGCGCACCGCAAACTTATTACAAACATTTATTTCCCGAAAAAGCGGGCCACATAAATTACTGCAGATCTTCCGAAGCAAAAACATAATTAATGTTGTGTTGTTTGTAATCAGAGAGCTAAGTGGTAGACAACAAGTGCCAGATGGTGGTTACGAAGGAATGACACACCCCCTGACTCTGTAGGACTGACAATTCAGACCGATCATGCAAATTTAAACAATCAAACAATAGTGAAATTCAAAGGATGGCTATTATTATTAAAGAGTTGCTAAGAAATAAAAGACTGTTAGGTAAGTGAAGGTAATAGTGACAAAAATATCACATTTCGTGGCCTTACTTTCTCAAATTCGTATCTTAAAGTACAAAGTTACTGAAATGCAAAAAATGGATTGTATATACAAATTTTGCAGGCTGATTTCACATCACATTTCCTTCATATTCACACACTGGCTTTTACCTACTCTTAAAGTAATGCATCCAAACGAACACCCTTGATAAGAAATTTAAAATAAATAGAAAGTTTTGCCATCCCCTGAATAATCACTCTTTATGAGATACGAGTTTGAGAAAGTAACGCATCGATAAATCAGATTTTAGTTTTTAAACTCTATTAATTTTTTTACCTTATATGCCATATATAATAAATTAACGGAATATGATCTATATGTCTTCGCTATGTTACATTTTCTTACAAACCAACTGATTTGATTTGTAATAAGGACCCATAAAATATGGTAGTGTCAGGATGTGTGTATCACAAACACACAAACGTTACGTGTCTTTTCACACACCTTTTCCGTTGAAACGAAATGGAGGCGTCTTCCTATATACGTTATATTATTTCATTAAGAGTGTGCGATATTGTTACAGCTTCTCGCACAGCTATATTCTTGGCTTTATAGTGAGCTTATAAAAAGTCGAGTGTGTTGCTCGAGTCCATAACTATAATTGCGTGAATGTGCGACTTAAAATATTACAATGACGATAAAAAGAAAGAAATGAAATACAATAGAACTCCATCAATTTTAACTTTCCCGTAAAATACCGAGATGGTAGATTGCGTCCAGTATTGTCAAAATTTAAATATAAATTAGTGAATCCCTGCGGTACCCTTTCTACCCTTTCCGAGACACCCAAGAATCCCGAAGGGGACTATTTATCAACCTCAGATAATATTACAGGCATGGTCGTTTTAAATTTATACCAGTAATTGAGGACTTCAGTTGCCAGTTCTTCTTAGTAATTAATGAATTCTGGCTAGGTTCGTTACGTTTATGTACCGATCGCGTGCAAAACAATGAATGGAATATATCACTCGGTTGAGGTACAATTTATTTTGGCAAATTTAACGACTGACTGGTTTAGTTTAGACTAATGATGTTTGGTGGTATGTTGCCATATTAATGGCGTTTTGCTTCATTTTAATTAAATATTTTTATCGTTCAAACTATTGAAATTCAGTAAGCCCGGAAAAGTTATACCTACATTACATTTTCCGCGTTACTTTTATTAAAAGTATAAGAACCCGACAATTGAGATTGTAAATCTCTCATCATTTTTCCACTTCATATCGTTTCAATAAAGCTGTCACATTCAATATGCTGCAAAGTGGCATTTCGTACAATGTGAGGACAATATTGAAGCGGGAAAATATTGAGTCTGCAGCTATTTACGTTATATTACCAGTAATTTATTTTTCGCTATAATTTCTCTCTTGTAGGCCAGTCGAGTTTTTTACTAATGCTCTAGGTACGTCATGATATTCATCATTTAAATATTTCCTAATAACTGAGCGACTTTCGCAGTGGTTGACTAATGGTTTGACCTACCGCTTCCCAAGCAGAGAGTCGTGTTTTCGAATCCGGGCTTGCACATCTGCGATTCTCGGAATTTATGTGCGAAATTTAATTTGAAATTCATGACGTTCTCGATGAAGGAAAACAACGTGATGACACATAAATCCTCGCTTGAGATGACACCCGTGCAGCGGTGGGACTTAGGTTGATGATGATAACTCAGCGACTACGCCTATTTATTAATTTACTTGATTTTATAATTCTTTATGGGCATGAATAAATGGTACTATACTATAAGGAAATGAATTACGAGTTATTCACGATTGAGGTGTCAAAAGCGATATTTGTAAGAATTTTGGAAAGTTATATGTCCATGCATTAGGAGCGCAAAAGATGTTGTGCGTTTCGTATTAGCACCAACGACATGCCTCGATACAGGTCCTGAGAATTTCCGATCGCATTCCTACGAGTCGGCATCAGTAGCGTGGATACCCAGACGTTCCTATCGCCCGAGCGCTAGCATCGACGCCCGAATAGCCGCATCGACGCGCGAAAGGCAGCGCCATATTTCGAATGATCGCGTCGATGGCCGAACCTCCGAAAGTACAAAGATTAAGTTCACATCCATTTCATGATGAAGCGATGGCTTAAACGACGACGTTCGAATTGCCGCATAAGTGTGATAAAAATTGATCCGCATAGATAATGCAATAAAAACTTATTATGTAATTTGCATATTTTTTTAATAAACTTACATTATGGTTAGTTAATCATAACGACTACTTCGCCAGTGCAGACATTCCAGGTCAAATGTAGATTAAAGACTTCACGCGTATTT